TGCCGCCACCCTCACAGGTGACACGGTGGTGATGCGAAGCCCTGGAGTTCTTAAAACGGAGGGGACAAACCCGGAATCTGGATGTAGCACGCTCAAATATATATACATGTATACATGTATGTACATATACATATGTATATGTATATGTATATGTATGTCTATGTATATATATATATACACATAAAATAAAAATATAAAAAGATAATTTTTAAGGTAACCTTGATTCTAGAGTCAGGGTTTACAATTTTTTAATACCTTCTTTTAGCAGTATCCCGATTCCTTTTAAAAAGGTGTCTTAAACATACCTTTAAAAAGTAGATAATGTAGATAATACACTGAAGGATAGAAACGTGCAGTTTCTCAGCCATTCTCTTTCTTGCAGCAAAAGCATTAGCGACAGCCTTAGCCCATACTAATTGCTATTCCCATTCCCAGCTTTTCTTTTGAGTGATGTATTTTTGCTACTTCTGCTTACTGGATTTAAATTCTTAAGACACAGTCTCTGCCTGGAAGTTGGTTTGTTTTTCTTTTTGGTTTGAACCATCAGGTCAGCTGTTTGCAAGCCCAGAGAGAATGGAAAACAAAATTCTTTCTTCTTTCAAAGAAAAACAACTCTCGTGACTTGTTTTGGAAATGTCAGTGCATATGGCTCTGGTGAGAGCACTAAAGCCTGGGGTGAGAATAACCTTACTGAGTTTTGGAGCATTCCTGGGAAATTTAGGGTTTAATCAGGCCAAGCATGGCCCTTTCTTGCAAACACACAGGTTTCTGGAGCGGCGTGCTGGTTTTCCATCATGGCATGCTGTTCCCAGTCAGGGAGGCTGTGCTCGCTGCGCAGGGAGCTTGCCGAGCCACGTACTGCAGTGAATTGAAAGGCTGCAGCAGAGAAATAATTTATGGTGAACAGAGAACACAGACATTATTTGGATTAATATACTCTGAGGCAGAGGGCCAAGGCAAGCCCTCATGGCACAAATACATCTTTAGCTACTGTTTAAATCCAGCTCTGTTGTGCTTCAGGCACTGGATGCCCAACACATCACTGCCTGCTGCCCTGTGCTCCTGGCAGCCAGGGCTGTCCCCGCACTGCAGGACAGCACCGCCATCAATCCTTGTGCCAGGACCCTGCATGCTGCATGGGAGCAGCCTCCTGTCAACTGGTGAATGAAATCCTGCAGCAGGAGGAAGGCCATGGTGGCACAAGACACCAGTGGTTATGCCCCCGTGTTGCTTCACCCAGCAAGAAGCCACAGTCCCTTCTGCAGCTCAACAAGAGGCTCTGCATCTCGAGGACAGCCCTGTCACAACCTCAGCAAGCTACCCTGGAGGAAGGAGGCATCTCAGCACTTTCATTCTGCGTGTGCAGATTGCCTCACTGGTTTACATGATTGTAGTGCTGCAAGAGCAAGCCCGGAGGAGCTCTGAATGCCTGCAGGCACCCAACTCGAGGTGGTTGGTGCTCTGTGATCAGTGCTTAGCAAGGCCACTGGGGCATAAGCTTCCAGCACTCACACACTTGCTGCCCACACTGCACGGACAGAAACGTCACTTCTGGCCCTATGCTGGCTGCAAGATGCTGTTGTCCTATACCAAGGGCACGATGCCCTCCCTAGGCTGTGCTCCAGCCCTAGGCACAGGGCAGGAGGAGGAAGGAGCTTGAGGAAAGTAGTTGGTTTTGAAAGGATTAAGTCTTATCTGACAGAAGCCATGAGGCAGAGTATGGGCAGCAGAAGCCCAGGGCGAGCTCAAGGAAAAGAAGGAAAAAGGTGTGACTTGAAGACCTTAAAAGTAATGAGGATCCCATCAAAGACCCCTCTGTTTTACAGTGCTCTAACTCAATAAATACTTTTGTCTTGTTTCCTAAGGAAAAGTATTCATGCCATTTTGGGGAGCAAAGAGCACGTCGTCATTAGTCACTCTAACACCTTTGGCTGATTTCAATTCAGTTTAGACACGGGGAGCAGAGATCCAAGGGTATCAACTCTGGGGAACGAAGCAGTGAGACAGAGAGACCATGCCTACACCGTCCCTGGGAGGAGGCTGCAGCTTGAACCCAAATCCTCTTGGACTTCAGAGGATCCACACTAGCGCTGCTCCCTGAGACCTGGCTTCCTCAGACCCATCACGCAGGCAGTGCCTTGCTCTGTGTTTGCTGACTAAAGCAAAAAAAAGAAAAAAGATGTTCCCACTTAGCCCTCACCAACACTGTTTCTCTGCCACCCACATTTCTGTTTTGCTTCCCCTGCAGCATTTCCCTTACTCCCACTACAGGGTTCCTGCAGCCTCCTTCATATTCCTCCCTTGCTCCATCTCCCTTTTCACATACAGACTGAATTCCCAGCATTTACCTTATGGCCTGTCACAGCCCTGGCACCTTTCAGGACAGGAGCTGCCTTTAGAAGGTGTTTACACTGCATTCAGACCTGTGCTACTGTCAGAGTGGGATAGGGCTCATGGCTGATGGAGAGCAGGTGCTATGAACACACCTGGAAGAATCCAATGACTGCCACCTCTGCACCATTGATGAAGGCTTCAGCAGTTGTGATGTTGTCCACCAGGACAGGTTTTTCTGCGATGCCAGCTGTGCCTGGAGAGATGTCAGGGTTGGACAGAGGGTACACAAAGAGCAGCTCAGAGGCTCCTCCCAACAAGCATGCAAGCATCCCACCCCTTACAAGTTCACCCACACATCTCTCCTGCAAGCTCAACACAATGCTTGCACAGCACACCCTGGATAAGGACTCCCCACGGCAGACCTAGCCTTTCCCTGAGCTGGGAGGAAAGCTCACTTACCATGAGATGCAGAGCTGCTGTCTCCAGCACATCCTGCTGGGGAGCCCCCGGTGAGCAGGACAGCAAAGAGGCATAGGAAGATGTAGGTGCCCATGGTGCCAGCTTGCCCTCTCCTTGCCATGCCACCCTGCTCCAGTGCTCTCCTCAGCAAGAGACACGTCAGCCACTCCCAGGGCAGTGGGAAGGGAGCAGCTGGCCCAGGGCAAAGCCTTCAGCTCCTGAGATAACCACCTGGCAGGGAGAGAGCTCCTACCTGCTGTGCAGGCACCAGCCTTGGGCATTCCTCACCACAGCACTGGACATTTCAGCTACCCTGCACCTGTGTGACGAGGCACCCCAGGTGGGTAAGAACATCCTTCCATGCAGAAGGAACACTGCACTTCTCCAGATGCTGGATCCTAGGGGCTGATGTTCCCTTCTGCTCAGCCAACGAGGCAACCACTGGGACATGCAGCTCTTGCATTGGCTCTGGCTATGGGGAACAGCTGCCATGTTTAAGTGTTAAAGATGAGAAGGCCATGTTATAGCTCTCTGGGCTCATTCAGTTGCCACCCAGGATGAGAGGTGGTGGCTATCTACCCCTGGAGTCTACCCCCCATCACAGGCCAGACTTTGCATTTCAAAGAAGGATTCATGAACCTCTTGAAAGAAGTAGTTCAGAAACAATTTACCTAGAGTTAGGCTGATGTTTTGAAGAGAGGAAGGCTGTTTCCCTGCTGAAACATGCTCTTAAGCCTTCCTATAATGCATTCCCCACATACACATCACTGAAAACATACTCCAGAAAAGAATGTGACACTCATGCAGAAAAGAAGAAAGAAACTGGTTTTATTCTTGGGACACTGAAGTCTTGTTACAGCATCTAGCTGCGTTCCCCCTGACTGGTTTTGCCTGCACAAGGATGGATTTTAACAGGATAGGGCACCAGATACAGACCAGGAGACCATCACAGGAGATAAGTAACCCTTTACAATGAGTCAGAGCACATGGCAAGTGTAATTCAGATAGGGATTTTCTAGGGACCAGTCCGCCCTGCCAGGTGATCTTGTTTCCTAGAAAAGGCACTTCTGGGACTGGAGTTGGTACAGGAGAGATGGAGGGAGATGGAGGCAGCAGGAGGAAGTACTGGAAGTGAGGGAGGGAGATGCTTCCCAATTTAACCCATTATGTGTCACGATGGGGCGGCGGTGAGAACGGACGGGTTATTTTCAGTGTACCAGAAGAAGCAGCAAAGGCCGCCTGCAGGCCTCTGCATTGACCGAGGCTGGCACAGAGCCCCAGCACCCACAGGAAGGGCGCAGCGTGGTGGGCATGGCCCACCTGGAGACTGGTGCAGGAGGCAAGGGGATGGGGAGGGGGAAGGCAAACTGGGTGAACTCATTCTGTCCATTCCTTCTTGATGGACAGGTTCCACTCCCAGGTGAGATGGTCATGCTTGTCATCATCCGTGAAGAAGGACTTGTTGTGATAGGTGCCTCGAGCCAGCATACCCTTAGGAGCCTCCTCAATAGGTGTCAGGAACTCATACTCCTCTGGCCGTGGCCCATAGCTGCCAACCATGAATGTGGCTTTGTCCACTAGGAGAAAACAATCCACAAAGGATCAGCACCTCAGGTGGGGAATGATAAAGAAGAGAAGAAGCCACAAGTATGAGTACAGATTACAGACAGAAAGGAGACAGTAGGGAGAAAAAGGGATGGTCCATGTCAGCAAGAGGAACAGAATCAGTAGAAAAAGTGGGTTAGTGAAGCACAAGGACAGCTGAAAAGATAAATGGATGGACAGGCAGATGGACAGACAAGTCAGTCTGTACCCTCTCATGTGTGTGTGCTGCTGGAAGGGAATGGATACACCCAGCATATGGCTCTTGATCTCCCACTACTTCTCTTTTCTGGTAAGAAGACAGCACTTTGCATGCTGAACGGGACACTGGAGCCTTAGAGGTGGTTGCATGCAAAAATGCACGTGGGATGTGTGTGTGCAAAATGGGACTTCCCTCTGCCTTATGCAGGCAGGGCAACACTGCACAAAGTGGAGAGGTCATGGGCAAACAGTGTTCTGCAGATAGTGGGAAGCTCTGTAGAGCAGCTCTGAATTTTACCAAGTGCATCTGGAAGAGCTTTCTGGGGGTGGGAAGCTCCACACAGGCTGAGCCTCTCTACAGGGGGCAGGGGGGAGGTGAAGAGCTCTAGAGAGGAAATTTGTGGCAAGTACTGTCTAAACAGCGTCTCTGGGGACTTTGCTGCAGCAGACAGTGGTGTAGCATACAGATATCAGAGCTGGCTCGTATTGAGTTCACACAGGCATAGGAAACAGTTGGCCTGTGCAATGCAGAGTGTAGGCTGATGCACTCTGCTGAGGTCTTGTCTCCTGTGCAGGAGGGGGGGAACTCATGGCCAAGGGAGGCTCTGTCCTGACCGAGAGCTGCAAGAACACTTCTATGAGCAGAGGGAACACAGGGGTAGGAGCACTGGTGTGCAGGGCACAAAGGTCTCTTACTCACCCTTCACCCCTGTCCGGTAAGTGTGTTGCACATATTTCAGTCCCGACACAATGTCCCTGTTTACCTGTGAGAAACAACCAGAAGTAAGTGTCAAGGGAAGGGTTTTGGTCCTGTATCTGCTGGTTTTCTCTCTTCTTAGAGACACATCCATCTTGGCTCTCTACACCACTGCTCTCAAAGGCTCAGCACAGGACACATTGCGGGGACTCCTAACACAACTTCTCCATAGGCATCTGGAGACCTACAGACCTCTAGCATAGGCATCTGGAGACCCCTGTGCATCTCCTGCACTTCCCCACCCTTTCCCTTTTCCCACATCAGTCAGCTTCACATGATGGGCTGATGAGGACAAAGAGAAGTGAAGCAGGGAGTTCTCAGTTAATATTTTCCATATTGAAAACCAGACACGGGTGACTAGAGTCATTCCTCCAGCACAAACGGGTGGGCAACATTAGCTGACCACCCCCAGATGTCCTCTAAGCTCCACTGGGAGCTGGCAAGTTTCCCCTCAAGAGGCAGAGGGACACGGTTTTGTTCATGATCTTTTCTCAAATCTCCCTTGGATAGCTTGGATGTACCCCTTGCTCTCCCCCTCCAGCATATGCTGCCTCTCCACAGCACTACTCAATCTGGAAACAAGATGGGCAGATCCTTTTACATCCCAAGGGAGAATTCACATGGTGCCAGGTCTTACCAGCCTTGGGACTGAGGGAGCGAGTTAGAATAACTTGTCTGGCTCCAGGCGTCTCCTGTCAACAGGGCTCAGATACAAATGGAAATATTTCATAGCACAAAGGAGACCTGGAGGTGACTCTGGGGACAAAGTCATCCCTGAGACAGTGAGTGAGCCTCAGAGGAGAAGGGAAATCTTTCCTACAGAACTCACAACATTAACACTTTCCCTCCTCTGATTTCAGGAGAACCATCCTCCATGCCCTTTTGCTTTCTCTGCCAAAGCCAGCTTTGTCTGCAGCAAACATGTGGAGATGATCACTTCAGTGCTGGATGCTACACTGCAGTGTGGCCAAATTCCATTTTCAGCTGGAAACACAAGAAACGTCTAACACATTGGTTAATGGAAGAGGGGGGAGGAATGAGCCCATTTGGGTATATCATGACCCAGAAGAACTCAGGTATTGTCAGTCAAATGCTACAGCATTAAATCTTTTTTATGCATACATGAAGCCCAGCAATTCCGACAGAACCAGTACTTCATGGAAAGCCGTTATCTCTTCTCCTCCCTTTCCATTCCCACTTCATGTGAATTAAAGATTTTCTTGTGGCTAAAAAGCCAAGCCAAACTCAGCTAAAACTACCCATCTGGCTTCCAAATCACCTGTTGTTCACTACTGTGAGTGGACAGAAAGCAACTTTTCTAAGGGGCGAGAAAGTAGAAGCAACTCCCTGGAAAGACCTGGTCCCTTGCTGAGTAGAATGACACGGGAAGCTAGGGTAGCTTTACCAGGGCCCAGCTTTCAGGCAGGCATGCTGCCCAGCTCTTGTTATCCAGTAGACTGATGGTGACTGGCCCCAGAAACTGATGAGAAGCAACCAAAAGGAAAACAACTCACTTTGAAGTGGATCTTAACTCTGTATTCCACTCCTTCCTTTAATACGAAGATCTCTTTCTTAAGTGCTTCAAGGTCACCTGAAAGGAGAGGATCAAGCCATTAGCTAGAGGTGTCACAGCAAGAAGAGACCGCATGTGATGGGATGGGGCTAGGATTGGTGTCAGAGATAAGCATCCCTTTGAAGGACGGCACACCTGCAAAATGTGTATGCAGAGTTCTGTATAAGCAATTGCACTGTGAGAGCACGTACACAGAAACACCTGGGTGTATCTATGTGCCTGTGTCCACATCTATGAAGATAACACCTAAACAAACACAGGTCTAGGCATATATACACAGATATTTATGCACGGACTCATTGTTAGGCACCTGCAGGAGCGTTTGCATGCCTAACCCAGGGGCAGCCCTGGCCTGGGTGAGCAGTGCATGTTTCACAGCTCCTGCCCAGCTTGCGAGGCTGCCTGGGCTCTGCAGGGCTCAGCATGGTTTCAGTTGAACAGGAAGCCTCTCTGCTCCTCCGGGCCCAGCTTCCTCTCTCTGCAGAAAGGCCCATATAAGGTGAAGCCTGGTTCTCTCCCCATGTCCCCAGCAGCCGGAACTTCAGTATTGCTTGATTCTGAGGTTTCAAAACAGCTTGTTACCCGAATGCATGAACATCCCTTTTGCTAATGAGATCTCATTGAAAGGAATTAAGAAGAGAAGGCAGGAGAAACCCAGGAGCTACAAGAGCACTCTAGATGAAGAAAAAGACCCTCAACATTTTCCTCTGTTACATTTCCTTTTTCTTTTTCATATGTGTATACCTTAAAATAAGAAACAAGGCTAAGATGCCTTCAGACTTCCTCTAAAACCCACTGTAGCATCCCAAGGACAAATTTGAAGCATGACAGGACCTTTGCTTGTTCCCCTTCATGCCCAAAGACGAAGCCTGCGCCTACCTGTAAGGTCCATAGTGATGGGTCCTGGAGCAGAGTCACATACCAGGGTGAGTCGGGTGACCACCACGTTGGGAGCTGTTGGGTCTGCAGGTAGGAAAGTTAGGGGGAAGCTTGTCAGCTTGCAAAATTAAATGCAGGGGGAAGGGAACAACACTAAAGAAAGGAGGTTGTTTTCCCACAAAGAAACTGCACTTCAGAAACACCTAGTAACGCCAGGCTTCTCTTAGCACAACAGGACCATGCACTATTGGCAAGCCTGTCCACAGCAAGGAGGTTGGAACTAGATGACCTTTAAGGTCCTTTCCAACCCAAACCATTCTATGATTCTATGATCTACCCCAGACCTTCAATGTGGATCCCTCCAGATTCCATCCCAATACCTACAGGAGGTCTTTCCACTACAGGAGACTCCCCTCTTAAGATCATTCTGAGCAGCAAGATCCCCTTTCAGCGTAGGCTGATCCCCTCATGTTTCTAACCCTTCAGGAGTCCTCCAAGGCCCACACACCTCCCACTACAAGTCTCTTTCCAATGCCAGCACTCCCTATTAACCTCACATCTAACACTCAGAGCATCTTCCTTGCTTCCTTTACATGCATCTGTCCACTTGCCAATCCCCAGTCCTCCAGCAGAAGCAGTGCATGTGCCTGGTCAAACAAGCTCCCTCTTATTTGAGGCCACCTTGCCCCATCCCCACAGCACACTGTTGCAATGCATCTCCCCAGTCGCCTCCTACCAGTGTGTCCCAGCCTACCTACTACGACAGGTCCATCTCCCAGCAGGGACTTCTTGTACTTAGCAAGGCTTTCATCGTCCTTGTCCAACTCTTGCAGCTCCTGCAATGTTTTCTGGGGAGGAGGTTTGTAGTTGAGTTTCCCATCCAGCTCATCATCATCTTCCTCCACATGAGGTTCTTGGGTCTTCTCGGTCATGGTTGCTAGGTCTGGGTAGGAAGAGGGAACTGTCGATGGGATTGCTCTGGAGAGGCACTCGCTCTGGGCACGGTGTGGCTCAGTCCCCCAGGCAGGCAGGCACCCATCCAGCGCCAAACGCAGCGGGATCGTTACAGACAAATGGCGACGCTGATCAGCTGCAATCCTGACACTGCTGTGCTGATATTCTGGGTCGAACACAACCCCCCTCTGCCCCTGCTCTTCTCCCTGCAGGCACCACGCGCACATGCAGACCTACACCACTTTTCCCCCTGAGGAGGGGGTGCGGGAGCGGAGGCTGAAGCCGGAGTGATTTACAACCACGCTGCAGCATGGTTACTGGCCAGCAACCCTGCAATTACAAGCCACCGTACAAGACTTCAGCGCTCGCCAGCTATCTTGCACAAAGAGCCACTGCCACACAGGGGCATGAACAAAGCCAAGGCCAGAGGTTTCATTCACCCTCTCATAACTAGTTAAAAGCCACAGTCAGGCAGTTTTTCATACAAAGATCAAATACCTGACAGCAAGTCCCTTATATAAGCAAGTTAGCTGATGCCCTCAAGGAAACACACCCACTATAGTCTATCTGCTGGCTTTCCTGGTGCTTGCTCCCAGGAACAGCTCACTTCACGCATCGATCAGGTCTCCTGCCCACTAAGGAAGGAAGCATGACAATGACCGCATCCAGCTAGGCTGCAGAACAGCCCTGCGTACCTGTGCTGCATCAGTGGGGCTTTCTGGGAAGGAGAGGCAGGATGGCTGGAGCCTGAAGCCACGCAGGCAGCAAGGCTGGGACCTCCTGCACACAGGAGGGCAGCGAAGCTGCTTGGGTGGCATCCCAAATGGGAGCCAGAGTGGGGAGAGATGAACTGATGGGCAGCCAGGGCATGGGATGGGGGAATAGGAGACAGGCAGGAGAGATGAGCAGTATTGTGACAGGTCCTCCTTAGTCAGCTGCCTGCCTCATGGAGCCAGCCGCATGGTCCTAGCCACCTTCCCACTCTTCAGAGTAAGGCTGAAAAACAGAGCAGTGCCCTGGTGCAGCGGTGGTTGTTGCAAACAGCCAGGCCATTCCTTGTCGTTTGCCAGCAAGGGGATTTGGTCAAGCTACACAGATCATTCAGTTCACTTGGATTTAACCTTATATTAACTCCTTCTGCGAGGCTGTCGCCACTAAAAATACCCCTTTTGCTTGCTTATTTGCAATTTCCCCAGCAAGCCCTTTATTCTTCTCTGCAGCTATGGTCTTAACATTTGCCTCTGCTCCCAGAAGTTAAATTGGGAGCTAGTGGGACAGTTTTCTCATTCATTAAAATAGAAAGGAAATAAAAAAAAAATATATGTGCAACAGTTCAGGGTGAATCAGCAAGTGGAATCAGGCAGGAATGAGTAATATGAAGACTTCCCAGTACAATTGTACTGGGGGGAGGGGGGAAATCAAGAAGGCATATATTGGCACATTAATAAGGGACGGAGAAGGACCAAGCAGTACAGGAACAAGAAGACTCAGTCGGGCACACTAACAGCCAATGGCCCTGATACAAGACTACTTTGCAATGACATTTTGTGGTGAGTCAGGAACTAGTGCAGAGCAGACAGCTGGGAAATAAAAGGGAATCCCAACTCAAATGAACAGGAAAGAAAGCATGTCCCAGAAGCTGAATAATCTTGGCCACGTTCGTGCCCAGCCCTAAGAGTGTGAAGGACCTACGTACCATGGGAAAGGGCCTTGAGCTTGTCCTCACGAAGAAGGAAATCAGAAGCTCTCTCAAGAAAGCAACGATTCCTCATGCCCCACTGCTCTGCAGCCCCAGCACAGTCCCCTTACAAAGCCTTGTGATTCCCTCAGTGCCACCCCACACTCAGCATAGGAAGAGGACAGGATGAGCCGTGGCAGCCACCACCAGGTCTTGCCTTCCACTTGGGCTCCAGCTGCAGATCTGAGTCATTTCCACTCTCTTGAGCTCTCTCGCAATAGTAAGCTGCATCTGCCACCCCAACCACAGCGCAGAGCTGCCTACCCCCATCCTCAGTCGGGGGTTTTGGGTTTTATCATAGGAGAGGGAGAGACCCAGGGGTTGGAGGAAGATATCTCTCACCACACGCAGAGAAAAGGCAGAGTCAGGGCTGCACCAGCTGGTTGCTCCCCATCCCTCATACCTTCCCTTTCCATCGCACATGCCGCAAAGACTTTCCCTGCCAGCCAGTGGGGGCGGCTCACTTGAAGGGGGATGCTTTTAGGCTCCAAAAACCTCACAGAAAAGGTGGACAGGCAACCTGCTGTGCCAACAGCAAGAGCCTGTAGGGAACAGGATCAGCCAGGCTTTCTGGGCTGAACAACCCCTGGGTCACCTGCGTCAGGATGGCACAGATCAGACCCCATTCTGGCATTTCTCCCCAAGCTGTGGACCTGACCCTGCCTTCCTGCCAAATTCCAGGCAGGAGGTGACCAAGAGGAAAGCTCACATCTTAGCTGCTCCTGCGTCTACTCGCTCCAGTTCTGGGACTGGTCCCCTCTGCAAGCTGAGGTATGCTACTGGGCTCAAGCACCAGCACTTCCCTAGACTGAGCATGTCGATACCAAACTGTCTGGGTCCCTGGGCTTCTGTATCACTGCCCAGAACAAGGGCTGGGCTAAGATGGAGACTCCCACAGCCTCAGACCACGAGCCTCATTAAAAATGAGAAAATTAACTCTATAAATTTGTGCCCTGCCCCACCACATTTTTCTTCCTTTCCTGCAGCCCCAACCCACAGTCATGTATCACCCGCACCTCCGAGGCCTGGCAGCACCCACAAAGCAGCGAGGAGAGAAGCAGGGGCAGAGCTGGGGACCCCCTGCCAGAGAGAGAGATAGCTGCAGGAGGTGAAGGAGGAATCATGCCCTGCCGAGAGGTGCGAGTGCCTCTCAGCTGGGCTCTGCCTGTGCCGGCAGTGAGCGGCTGCCCCCGCACCT